TCAAGTGATCCACCTCAGCTTCTCAAAGTCCTGGGATTACAGGTGAGAGTCACTGCACCTGGCTGAGTTACACGCTTTTATTGTATGCCAAACATTGTGTATAAAAGAACCTTAAAGGTCGAAGTTAGTATTTTCCCCTGAATGGTTGATTCTATTTTCTGTTAGCCAATGTAGCTTAAAGGGATGATAATTCTATCCAATCAGAAATTGAGCTGATTTCATGGTGAATTGCAGCTTTACTTACAGGTGGTCCACCTCTGTTTTTAACTATCTTGAGAGTGAGACCTGTCGTGTATTTGTTGCAGGCCCCTCCCTTCAGAGGGACTCCATATTCTAAACAATAAAAAAATGCAGGAGCTCTTACTCTGCCTTTCCAGCCTAGGTCTCCAGCTTAGCAGCCACTGCCCCCACCGCACCTGGAGCCCCAGCCCTCAATCTACCCCAGCACTCAGCAAATATCCCACAGGAAAAAGAGCCTCTTATCTGGCTCTTTTAGATTCTAATCTGTAACAATAGCCTGAGAGGCCATCAAAAGTTCAGTGTAAACTACACTCAATCTTTGGCCTTGACAAATGTACCCAGGGAGAAAAATGACCAACAATCCCAGCTCACCTAGCATGGGCTCTTCTGTTTCTGATCTCACTGCCCTCTCATGTTCTGATGTCTTTAAAAATATGAGTTGGGCCAGGCATGACGGCTCATCCCTGTAATCCCAGCACTTTGGAAGGCCAAGGCAGTTCAGGACCAGCCTGGCCAACATAGTGAAACCCCATCTCTACTAAAAATACAAAATTTAGTGCCTGTAGTCCCTGCTAGTGGGGAGGCTAAGGTGGGAGAGTCACCTGAACCCGGGAGGCAGAGGCTGCAGTGAGTTGAGATGGTCACTGCACTCCATCCTGGGTGACTGAGACTCTGTCTATATGTGTGTGTGTGATCTGTATAATTTATCGTGTGTGTGTGTGTGTGTGTGTTTCTGGTTGCTGTAGCAGGAGTAATGACCTACTGATACCTACTATATCCTACTTGGAAGCAGAAGTTCCTTGTGTATAACACTGTATATTTTGGGATGAGCATTGTTGTTACCACTGACTATCTCAGACTGCTTCTTACATATTCTTAGAAAACATAACAAAAGGCAGACTATGTATAACTTTAAGTTTAATTAAGATCTTTTCCCACCTACCTGGTTTCTTAACAGTGTTCTTTGTTTACTTTGCTCCTGAGTGGTTAGGAGTGTAAATATCTTACTAGCATAGTACATTGAAAATTCAATTTATTTGCTATAATAGGATTTGTTCTTCCTAAGGGCTTTGTAAAATAAACCTCAAGGTGTCTTTTTTTTTTTTTTTTTGTATTTTTAAAAGTCTGGGCTGAGCACAGCTAGCTTACACTTATAATCCCAGCACTTTGGGAGACTGAGGCAGGAGGATTGCTTGAGGCCAGGAGCTCAAGACTAATCTGGACAACACAGCAAGAGGCTCATGCCTGTAATCCCAACACTTTGGGAGGCTGAAGCAGGAGGATTCCTTGAGGCCAGGAGTTCAAGACTAACCTAGACAACAGCAAGACTCTGTCTCTATAAAAAATAAAAATGTCTGTATTTAATATTATGAATAGGTAGCCTTCTCACATGTTCAAATGTCAAAAAATATAAAACTGTACAGTCCATTATTTTTATTTATTTATTTATTTTAAACAGAGACTTACCCTGTCCTCCAGGCTAGAGTGCAATGGCACCATCTCGGCTCACTGCAACCTCTGCCTCCCGGGTTCAAGCAACTCTCCCACCTCAGCCTCCGCACTAGCTGGGACTAGAGGCACACACCACCATGCTCAGCTAAATTTTGTATTTTTAGTAGAGATGGGATTTCGTCATGTTGGCCAGGCTGGTCTCGAACTCCTGGACTCAAGTGATCTGCTTGCCTTGGCTTCCCAAAGTGCTGGGGTTACAGGCATGAGCCACTGCACCCAGCCACAGTTAACTATTTCTATGACTCCTCCCCCTATCCACCCCGTTCCCACTCCCGACAGGTATTTATGATTATTAGCTTATTTATTAGAAAAGTTTAAACGAACATGCTAGCTAACACATACCCGAATCATTTTCCCCCTTGTTTTCTACATAAACATAGCATACTATGGCTACTGTTTTGCAATTTGCCTTTTAAGTATAAAAGGGAAGTAACTGGCTTATATGACTGCTAAGTCCAGGATGTGGCTGACAGCACAGCAGGATCCAGAGCCTCGGACAATTAATTCCAAAACCCCAGCTTCTTTCCTTCTCTTGCCTGCACTCTCCTCTCCGGTGGCTTCATCCTCAGGCAGGCTCCCCTCCCAGTCCCACATCCAGGATGACATCTTTACAGTTTGGGAACTCCAACAGAAAGGCACACCTCTTACCACATTCCTGGTAAATTCTAGCCAAAGTCCCAGGGACAGCTCTCATTGGCCCAGCTGGAGTCATCAGGCCAAGCCAGTAGGATATGCTGACTGGTCAGGCTGAAGTCGAATGGGCACCCCTAACATTCTAGGCTTGAGAAGTTGGTCCCACATTGGCATGAGCTTCCTGGCTGGGTTGAGAAAGGTGGCTCTCCAAAGCCGCATCGGGGTGCTGTAAGTGGACGATTTTCCCTAGGCAAAGGTTACAGATGCCTACTGCAGATGTAGTGTTTTTGATGTCTTTTTTTGGGCCCTTTCATGCCAGGAAGCTGCTATTATGCCAAACACAGCTGTGGCTCAGGACACACATGGCCCTCAGAAATGGCTGCCTGGAAAATGTTCCAGGTGGAGAGGGTCTGTTCTGTTTCCTTCGATTTTGCATTTGTCTATTTGGCATCCGTTAGTCACAGGACCCAACGAACAGCCAAACTTGTTGACAACTTTCCTTTTCGGGTGTGGGCACCAGAAAAATTCTATTACAAACCCTCCAACAAGTCCCAAGTCCAGACCTCTAACTATCCCCTTTATCTAACAAAAAGCCACTACTTCCCCTGCCCTAAATTAACCCAAGGCTACATACCAGAGAACCCCTAGAGACACCCCTAATCTCCGAAGCCCCCCGGGATTATTCAAACCAGCCAGTCCCAAACTGTTTTCCTGCACTGCCTTGCCTATCCCGCCGAAACGCCAATAAACGTTCTGGTTTAAGCCTTCCCTTCACTCCTGCCTCCTGACCAAACCTGGTGCTTCTGCATTTGGCTCTGCGTGGCGTGGCATGCCCCTCCTCTCAAGAAACGGGGATAAATTATTCTTTCAATGCCGTTAGTCTCTCTGGCATCAGTCACCTCTATGAATTAAAATCCCACCGGTATGTGAGGCAGGGGCTGCTGCCACTGAGTTTTCAGTCCCAGAAAACCACACTTCTTTTGATCTGTCTCTGCAGGGCTTTGGCAGTCTCTCCTCTCCATCCCCTAAATAATGCTGGCCTCTGTTCCACAGGTACCCTCTACATGAGCAGGCGCAAACAGTAACTCAGATGCCTCCAGGGGCATGAGGAGCCACGGGTTGTTTCAACCTATCGCTGGCAAAAGGGAATGTGGGCCCTGTGATAATACTAGATCTTTGTTTCTTTTCTTTCCTTCCTTTCTCTCTTCTTACCTCTCTCCTTCCTTCCCTCGCTTCTTCTCTCCCACCCTCCCTTCCTTCTTTTCTCTTTTTAAAGAAAAACTATTTCTGTTTCATTTGGGGATTTTGTGTGTGTATGTAAAATGTGTTGTGTTTGTTTTTTTCCCCACACTAACTGCTTTTATTATTGCGGTAAAATATGTATGAAATAAACTGCCATTTTAACTTTTTTTAAGTGTGTAACTCAATGGCATTAATTATATTCAAATGCTGTACAACCATTGCCACTATTTCTAAATCTTTTCATCCCCTGAAACGGAAAGTATGAAGCCAGTAAGCAATAATCCTCATTCTTCCCTCCCTCCTACTCTCAGCTCCTGAAACCTCTAATCTGCTTTCTCTATGAATCTGCCTATTCAAAATCGTTCATATAAATGGAGTCACATAGTATTTGTTCTTCTGTGTCTGGCACATTCAACTCAGAATGCTGTGGCATGTGTCAGAGCTTCACTCCTCTTCGTGGCCAAATGATATTCCCCTGCATGGATATACCACTTCTTTTGGTTTGTTTGTTTGAGACGGAGTCTTGCTCTGTTGCCCAGGCTGGAGTGCAGAGGTGCGATCTCAGCTCACCACAACTTCTGCCTCCTGGGTTCAAGTGATTCTCCTGCCTCAGCCTCCTGAGTAGCTGGGATTACAGGCCCACGCCACCATATCAGCTAATTTTTGTATTTTTTTTAGTAGAGACGGGGTTTTATCATGTTGGTCAGGCTAGTCTTGAACTCCTGACCTTGTGATCTGCCTGCCTTGCCCTCCCAAAGTGCTGGGATTACAGGCGTGAGCCACTGCACCTGGCCTTTTTTTTTTAGATGGAGACTCACTCTGTCACCCAGGCTGGAATGCAGTGGCACGATCTCAGCTCACTACAACCTCCACCTGCCAGGTTCAAGCAATTCTCCTGCTTCAGCTTCCCGAGTAACTGGGGTTACAGGCGCATGCCACCACGCATGGCTAATTTTTTCTATTTTTAGTAGAGAAAGGGTTTCACCATGTTGGTCAGGCTGGTCTCGAACTCCTGTCTTCAAGTGATTCGCCCACCTCAGCTTCCCAAAATGCTGGGATTACAGGTGTGAACCACCATGCCTAGCTTAAATATACTACATTTTGTTTGTTCATTCATCTGTTAATGGATACTTGGGTGAAATATGTCGATTTTTACTTGTAAAAAGAAGGCACATCTTTGTTAAATTACTCCCCAGGCTACCCTTCTCTATAGGAAAAAGCAGAGGAAATCAAGCAGATTTTTCATAGCACAATGACCAAGGAAAAAGTGAACAGAGATAACACAAAGACACAAACAATCTACCAAATAAATAACACCACTGACGTTACTTAGGCTCAACCAGTAGCACCCAAATCAGAGGTGGGATACTCACAACTCAATAAAGGCTGACATTCAGCTGAAATTGTTGGTGTCACACATGGCCTTAATTCCCTTATTGCTTTGGTCTTCACAAAGGCCATTTTGTGGACTTCTCCAGTACCAGCCATTGTGGGAGATCCTGAAGAGCACCCTCATGGAGAGCATATTCTGTAGAGGAAGACATGCATACTAACAGTGTCAATATAGGCAACACAAATGCTGATTGATATTACGGGAAAACCTGGGAGGGATACAGAGGCAGATCTGGAGGATTAGGTGAGGCTTTCCAACTTCCCAACTTCTCCAACAACTTGCAGAGAAGTTATCCCAAGACCTGAGAGATGAATGAGAGGTATAATTTGGAGGCAAAGGCCAGGAAACTGGAAAGACTGTAAAACACCTTTGAGGAAACATCAGCAAAATGGGGATTAGGGACAGATGACACATGAGAGGAAGCAGGGACCCAATCTGAGTTTGGTCTTCACCTTGAAGGCAAATGGCAGCTGCTGGAAGATTTCTGTTTTGTTTTTTGGGGTTTTCTTGGAGACAGATTCTCACTCTGTCACTCAGGCTGGAGTGCAGTGGCACGATCTTGGCTCACTGCAACCTCTACCTCCCACCTGGAAGGATTCTGTGGATGTGGGTGTAGGGTGGTGGAAGGTTTGTGCACGCATCTTAATCTTAAATACATACCTTGGCCAGGCAAGGTGGCTCATGCTTGTAGTCCCAGTGCTTTTGGAGGCTGAGGCTGGCAGATCACTTAAGGCCAGGAGTTTGAAACCAGTATGGGCAACATGGCAAAATCTCATTTCTACTAAAAATACAAAAATTAGCCAGGCATGGTGGCATGTGCCTGTGGTCCTGGCTACTGAGGAGGCTGAGGTGGGTGAATCGCTTGAGCCTGGGAGGTGGAGGTTGCACTGAGCCAAGATAGCACCACTGCACTCTGGTCTGGACAAGAGAACCAGACTCTGCCTCAAAAAATAAAAATACATTTTTTTATTTTTTATTTTTTTTGAGACGGAGTTTCGCTCTTGTTACCCAGGCTGGAGTGCAATGGCGCGATCTCGGCTCACCGCAACCTCCGCCTCCTGGGTTCAGGCGATTCTCCTGCCTCAGCCTCCTGAGTAGCTGGGATTACAGGCACGTGGCACCATGCCCAGCTAATGTTTTGTATTTTTAGTAGAGACGGGGTTTCACCATGTTGACCAGGATGGTCTCGATCTCCTGACCTCGTGATCCACCCGCCTCGGCCTCCCAAAGTGCTGGGATTACAGGCGTGAGCCAACGCGCCCAGCCATACATTTTTTTAAATTAAAAAAATGCATATCTCAATGATTATGCATATAATGATTTTATATATGAATGATTTCTATATCACTTTATACATATTAAATGTCTACATAAGATAGATATGTAATTTCCAGCACTCCGTCAAATTTCCTTGTGGAGCTTCCCCATCTACCTCTGCCTCCAAGAGGAACCCGGTATAAACTAAATACTCTTTTATCTACCTCTTTTTGTGCTCAGCTCAGTCTGTGCTTCATCTATATTGCATGTAACAGTAGTTCATTCTCCTTTTACTTTGTAATACAGAAAAAAACTGAGAAAAGCTTTGAAATGGTCTAAAAAAGATTACTGGGGCCAGGTATAGTAGCTCAACCCTGTAATCCCAGCACTTTGGGGGACCAAGGTGGGCGGATCACCTCAGATCAGAAATTCTGACCAGCCTGGCCAACATGGTGAAACCCCATCACTATTAAAGATACAAGAAATTAGCCGGGCGTGGTGGCATATACCTGTAGTCCCAGCTGCTCGGGAAGCTGAGGCAGGAGAATCGCTTGAACCTGGGAAGTGAAGGTTGCAGTGAGCTAAGATCACACCATTGCACTCCAGTCTGGGCGATAGAGCAAGACTCCATCTCAAAAAAAAAAAAGATTACTGAGTGTCACTGAAAAACAAGGCGTCCAGCTGTCCAGCTTACACTTTATAGGATGTCTGATTCTGTGAGAACACTAAACCTTTTATTGCCTTTGAGCTATAGAACAACTCGAAGTTTTTACAAACTATAGACACTTCTTGTCTATAGAAATGCAAATTGTTTTCAGTAGAATGCAATTGATTACTGAGCTGTGGATTTGATCAGTTCTGCCAGTTTTTGTATGTATTTGTAGTTATTTCATTATTCCTCATTTAACTGTGTGTGTGGTACTTTGAATCTTCCATTGAATCTCTGGATTCAATCTTTCTGGATCTCTCTGGATCTTTTCTGGATCTCTCATTCATTAATGAGTTAAATAAAATCTCTAAGATTTATCTTGTATCTGTATGATCATGATATTTGATATTTAAATTACTCTTCAATAGCAGCATACAGTTATATCAATAGCCATAATTTATCTATTCATCTATTGGTGGACATTTGAGGTATTTCCCTTTGGCTATGATCAGTAAAGCTGCTATGAGTCTTTTGGTGAACAAAGGCATTCACTTTTGGGGGATAAATATCTAGAAATGGGATTTCTGGGGCACAGGGTAGGGGTAAATGGAATTTTGGTAGAGATTGATATGTTTTCAAAGTGGTTGTACCATTTTACACTCCATCAATTCTGTATGAGAGTCCTATTTTGGCATCTTTGCAACTAATTGGAATTGTCTGTTCCTTTCAGCTATTCTGTGAGCTGTTTATTTTATTTTTTTTTGTGGGATATTTAATAGTATATTTTGGTTTTAATTTACCATAGAAGGTTTTCAGGAGGGCGGTAACTTGAACAGATTTTTACATTTTGGAAAACTGTTTCTGCGTATTATGTGGAGAACGATTCTTTGTATACCAAAGTTCATAGCAGCATTATTCACAATAGCCAAAAGGTGGAAATAACCAAGCATCCATTTATATGGATGAATGGATAAACAAAATGTAGTAAACATGTATGATGGTGTATTATTTAGCCTCAAGAAGGAAGGAAATGGCTGCTCCTTGAAGACATTATGCAAAGTGAAATAAGCCAATCAGAAAAGAGCAATTAGTGTATGGTTCAATTTACATGAAGTATCTAGCATTCATAGATAGAAATAGCAATAGTGGCGATCGGGTTGTGAGAAGCGGGTAATGGGGAGCGACTGTAATAGGCAGATTTTCTGTTTGGGATAATGAAAAAGTTCTGGAGACGGATAGTGGCGATGGTTTCACAGTGTGAATGTACTTAATGCCACTGAACTGTACACTTAAAAATGGTGAATCTTATGTTAGATACATTTCACCACACACCCAAAGAGGAAGGAAGAAAGGGAGCGTGGGAGGGAAGGAAGCAGAGAGCGAAGAGAGGAATAAAGTAAAGAAACTAGGATCTGGCATCACAGCACCCACATTCCCGCGTGGCTGGAACAGAAGCATGGCTTCTCACGTGCCCCTGGAGGCGTCTGAGTGAGCGTTCCCTTTCCCAGGTCACGGACACTTTGCGCTGCTCGCGTGGAGGGCTACGGGTGGAACAGAGGCCAGCGGTGTTAAGGGGATGGAGGAGACCGCCAAAACCTCGCAGACAGTGACCGTCGGAGCCAAGCGACGGGGTGCAGAGGCCTGGCTTGGCCTGTGGGAACTGGCAAGTCTCAGCTCTCAAACTCCGGGGTTTCAACCCCGCCACCGCCCGGGTCCAGCTGTCTACTTCCTGCAAAGCCTTCACCGCCTCCACACAGCAAAAACAAAGACTCAACTAACGCCGGAAGCCCGGGAAGTCACCGCAGTCACCTGACCCTCCCTTAAGGACTCTCATTGGGCTTTGGAGATTCGTGCCCCGCCCGGCGCCGTACGGAGACCCGCCCCCACAGCCCGAGGGGGGCGGGAACAGATGTCAGGGGGCGACGGTATTGGTCGGCATCCCCAGGAAGCAGCCAATTGGAATAGGCAGGCTTCCGGCGCGAACTGAGTGAGCGTTCGGCGCGGCGTCCGAGATCGCGACGCGGGGAGTTTGGATCCTGGTTCCGCCCGCTCGGAGTCTGCGTGCAAGGTGAGTGTCGCCCGCGAGCTGTGGGTCGGTCCCCCTGGACCTAGCCCGGCTCTCGGCGGCCCGGCCCGGAGCTGGAGGCCGCGCGGGCTCTTCCGTTTACTGCATTGGTTCATCTTGGCCCCCTGAGTCCTCGGGTTTGGAGAGCATCCTGGGAGGACAGCAGACACAAACACGTTCCCAGATGGGGAAACCGAGGCCCGGGGCGGGGGCGAACTTTGCCACGGTCGCCTACGGCGTCGGGGACCGAGCACGGGCTAGGACCCGGCCTGTTCTTGCCCATGTATCCCAGTGCCTAACATGATGCCCCGCACTGAGGAATCCCTGCCCAGACCTAGGGCACTGCCTCCGTGTCCCTCCTGAGGGACAGCAAAAGTACCTTGCAGTTTTTCTATGGCTTCCGTAATCACGAGCCGGGCTACTCTTGCGTTTGAATGTCGACGGCGAGCCATGTTGCCGGCACCCATAAGCTTACAACTGCAGCTTCACAATATCCCAGCAAAGCGAAGTGGTTAAGAATATTGCAGCAGATCACCCGAGTTTGAATTCTGGCTCCTTCACATTTCAGCTGTGTCTGCTGCACGTTACTGAAGCACTAAGTGTCTTGGTTTTCATCTGTCATATGGGGGAATAGTCTTCTACTTCCTGACGTTTTTGTTAGGATTAAACTACTTAACATATGCAGTAAAAAATGCTTCGAAATCTACCTGTTAAACAGCACACAGTAAGGGTTTTGTCATCATTGCCCAGAGAGGCGGGTGAAATTGTCCCCATTTTATTTTTATTTATTTATTTGTTAAAGACGGGGTTTCATCATGTTGGTCAGGCTGGTCTTGAACTCCCGACCTCAGGTGATCCGCCCGCCTTGGCCTCCAAAGTGCTTGGATTACAGGCGTGAGCCACCACGTCCGGCCATTGTCCCCATTTTAGACATGGAGAATCTGAAGCACAAACAGGTGTCTGTATAGAAAGAGCATTTGGTGATTAAGCGCTAGAGACAGAGAATTTGAACTAAGATCTGCCTGACTTTAAAGCATGTCCCACAACATCAGGCTTTCTCCTATACCCCTCCCCTGCCCTACGGTCACACAGAACTAGAGCTACCTCATGGCGTGAGATGGAGCAAGCACCTGACAGCTCCTTACGCCACCAATGCAGATAAAGAACACTTCTGTGTCACTGTCAATATTAAGGGACAGGAATTCGAGAGACTGCATGAGAGATGAGAAGGTGGTGAAGGGGGTAGGCAAAAGTCTTCTGTTTGGGGAATAGTAAATAGAATTAATCGAAACAACATTTTGTGAGCTGGGCTGCTTATACTGTCAGAAAGTACCTTATACTCTACTAGGAGGAAATGAAATTTCTGGGTCCTTTGTTACTGTCAATGCCATTCACCATGATGGGTACCTTATACATATAGTTTACAGTCCTATGAGTAACCTGGAGAGGTAGTTGTTTCCTTCAATTTACTGATGAGGAAACCAAGAGTTAAAAAATGAAACAAAAACTATACTATTAGTGAAACAATATCATGCTGGGGAATTCTACACATACACTTTAGGACCGTTGGTATTACCTACAAGCAGGAAGGGAAGGGAAAAAGGTCAAGGGAATGAGGGATATTTTATTCGTTTTGATTTTTAAATTTTTATCTGTTTTTTCTTTTTTCATAGTCATTCCTGGAATGAGTGAGATTTTAAATATATCTAAAATGAGGCCGGGTGCAGTGGCTCACACCTATAATCCCAACACTTTGGGAGGCTGAGGCAGGCAGATCACTTAAGGCCAGGAGTTCGAGACTTGCCTGACCAACATGGCGAAATCCCCTCTTTACAGTAAACACAGCAATTAGCCAGGCGTGGTGGTGTGTGCCTGTGGTTCCAGCTGCTAGGGAGGCTGAGGCGCGAGAATCACTTGAACCCAGGAGGCTGCAGTGAGCCACGATTGCACCACAGCACTCTAGCCTGGGTGACAGAGTGCGACTCCATCAATCTTGCTGAAATGTTTTATGCCTTTAAAAGAGAGAGAATAGAGCTGAATTTAACTTTTTAAATTTGGTCGCTGGGTACATGGATATAATTCTATTTTCTGTATCTTTGTGTAAGAAACATTAAAAGTTAAAATATATACATGTATCTTTTAATTTATATATATATATACACACACACATATGTTTTTTCTTTCTTTTTTTTTTTTTTTTTTTTTTTGAGACGGAGTTTCACTCATGTTACCCAGGCTGGAGTGCAATGGCGCGATCTCGGCTCACCGCAACCTCCGCCTCCTGGGTTCAGGCAATTCTCCTGCCTCAGCCTCCTGAGTAGCTGGGATTACAGGCACGCACCACCATGCCCAGCTAATTTTTTGTAGTTTTAGTAGAGACGGGGTTTCACCATGTTGACCAGGATGGTCTCGATCTCTTGACCTCGTGATCCACCCGCCTCGGCCTCCCAAAGTGCTGGGATTACAGGCTTGAGCCACCGCGCCCGGCACATATGTTTTTTTCTAAGAGAAAAATGGATTGAATAAAGAGGTCCAAGATAATTGCAGAATAATCCTAGTTCAGGGCTGAAAGCCCCTGAGAGTATCCATTACCTGCAGGATGAAATCTAAACTCCTTAGCATGATAGTGGAGGCCTTTGAGCATTCCGCTTCTCTAACACACACCACCCTACCGCAGCCTTTCTACCAATAGTTCATAGACTACTCTTCTTCACAACCTCAGTCCTGTGTGTAAAGTTCCACTTGTCCTTCAAGATCCAATTCATTGTTCTTTGAAAAGCTTCTCTATCATTTGCCTGTTTTTCCTTATTCTGGGAGGCCATGAAAAGGCTTTATTGTCAGACTTATCTCATGGTAAGTCTGTAATTATTTGTTGACATGTCTATTTTCTGCTAGTCTATAAGCTCCTTGAAGGCAATCATAATGTCTTGCCCATCTCTGTACTTCAGTGCCTCCCATGATGCCTGGCACAGAGTAGTCACTGTGTAAATTTCAGCTGAATGAAAAATACGAGTCGAAGACAGAGAGTGGAAGTCCTTGGAGTTATGACATATGGACTTTGTTCTCTGTAATGACAGGGAACTATTGAGTTTACTTTGTTTAAAAATACGTGTATCTTATTGAAACATATTCCCAATGTCAAGAAAAAAATTCCAGTCATGCTATCTTTCAAACCCTTGAACTATTTTTATTTCCCATGTGTCCTTTCCAAATTTCAGCTACGAAATTAGTTATACAGATTTAGCTATACAGATTCTTAGGTAGCTATAGCCTTAATGTATTCATAATTTAGTGTTTTTCTTTTTTAACCTGCCACTTAAGAATTTTTTTCTTTTCTTTTCTTTTTTTTTTTTTTTTTTTTTTTTTTTGAGACAGAGTTTCACTCATTTTACCCAGGCTGGAGTGCAATGGCGCGATCTCGGCTCACCGCAACCTCCGCCTCCTGGGTTCAGGCAATTCTCCTGCCTCAGCCTCCTGAGTAGCTGGGATTACAGGCACGCGCCACCATGCCCAGCTAATTTTTTGTATTTTTAGTAGAGACGGGGTTTCACCATGTTGACCAGGATGGTCTCGATCTCTTGACCTCGTGATCCACCCGCCTCGGCCTCCCAAAGTGCTGGGATTACAGGCTTGAGCCACCACGCCCGGCCTCTTTTCTTTTCTTTTCTTTTTTTTTGAGACAGGGTCTTGCTGCAGCTCCATCCTCCTGGGCTCAAGTGATCCTCTCACCTCAGCTGGGAGTACAGGGGTGTACCACCACACCTGGCTAATTTTTGTATTTATTGTATAGATGGGCTTTTGATTTTTTGTAGAGATAGGGTTTCACCATGTTATCCAGGGTGATCTCAAACTCGTGGGCCCAAGCAATTGGCCCATGTTGACTTCTCAAAGTACTGGGATTACATGTGTGAGCCACCACGCCTGGCCTGCTTTTTTCAATATGAAATTGTTTCTTGGCTGGGCTCGTTGCTTCATGCCTATGATCCCAGCACTTTGGGAGGCCAAGGCCTCCCTGGGGGATTGCTTCAGCCCAGGAGTTCATGACTAGCCTGGGCAACATGGCGAAACCCTGTCTCTGCCAAAAAATAAAATAAAAATCTAAATAATTTTTTTTTTTTTTTTTTTTTGAGACGGCTTCTCACTCTGTCACCCAGGCTGGAGTGCAGTGGCGCTATCCTGTCTCACTGCAGCCTCTGCCCCCTGGGTTCAAGTGACTTTACTGCCCCAGCCTCCTGAGTAACTGGGATTACAGGTGCATGCCATCACCCCACGCCAATTTTTGTATTTTTAGTAGAGACGGGGTTTCGCTATGTTGGCTAGGCTGGTCTTGAACTCCTGACCTCAGGTGATCCACCTGCCTCAGTCTCCCAAAGTGCTGGAATTACAGGTGTGAGCCACCGTGCCTGGCCGCTTGTCATATATGGTATAAATTTTCACAATATTCCTCTCTCTTTGGTTTCTAGGTATGAAATGATGCTCCATGTTATTAATTATTAGAAAAATTAGACATTGTTTTCATAAGTTTACTTAGTATGTGTATATTCTGGTGAGCTATTGTGTTTATATTGCCCGAACATTGATTGGTTCACTGAAACTAGATGTTCTTTATATGTTTTAAATATTAATCCTGAACTTGCTATTCATTGCTAATTTTTCTTTCCTTTTTATTTTATTTTTTTGAGATGGAGTTTTGCTCTGTCGCCCAGGCTGGAGTGCAGTGGCGCGATCTTTGCTCACTGCAACCTCCACCTCCCAGGTTCAAGCGATTCTGCTGCCTCAGCCTCCTGGGTAGCTGAGATTACAGGCACCCGTCGCCATGCCCAGCTAATTTTTGTATTTTTGATACAGACAAGGTTTTACCATGTCAGACTGGTCTCAAACTCCTAACCTCACATGCTCTACCCACCTCAGCTTCCCAAAGTGCTGGGATTACAGGTGTGAGCCACTGCACACAGCCTAATTTTTCTTTAAAAATTTTTTTTAATATGAGAACCAAGACACATTTGTAAAAATATACATAATTTGGCTAGGTGCATTGGTTCATACTTGTAAGCCCAGCACTTTAGGAGGTTGAGGCAGGTGGATCACGTAAGGCCAGGAGTTTGAGACCAGCCTGGACAGCATGGTGAAACCCCATCCATACTAAAATACAAGAATTAGCTGGGCGAGGTGGTGCATGTCTGTAATCCCAGCTACTCAGCAGGCTGAGGCAGGAGAATGGCTTGAACCTGGCCACCAGAGGTTGCAGTGAGCTGAGATCATACAACTGCACTCCAGCCTGGGCAACACAGTGAGACTCTGTCTCAAAAAAATAAAACTGAAAAAAAAAAGACTTAATTTAAAGAATAGTTACATAGAAATTACAAAGTTTAATTATTAACAATTGTACTGTATCAATAATAAGCATGAAGACTAATTTTAAAATTATAGTTACACATTACCATCTTCCAGATCAAGAAAGGTAGAATATTACCAGGACCTCAGAAGTATACCTTCCTCATCATACCTCCTCCCTGTGTTAGAGATAACTATTGTCCCAATTATTTATTTATTTATTTTTTTATTTTTTTGAGACAGAGTCTTACTCTGTCGCTCAGGCTGGAGTGCAATGGCGTGATCTCGCTTATTGCAACCTCCACCTCCTCGGTTCAAGTGATTCTCCTGCGTCAGCCTCCTGAGTAGCTGGGACTATAGGCGCTGCCACTGCAAATGGCTAATTTTTGTATTTTTAATAGAGAAGGTGTTTCACCATGTTGATCAGGCTGGTCTCGAACTCCTGACCTTGTGATCCACCCGCCTCAACCTCCCAAAGTGTTGGGATTACAGGCATGAGCCACCACACCTGGCCTTATTTTATTTTATTTTATTTATTATTTTTTTTTTGGGACGGAGTTGCGCTCTTGTTACCCAGGCTGGAGTGCAATGGCGCGATCTCGGCTCACCGCAACCTCCGCCTCCTGGGTTCAGGCAATTCTCCTGTCTCAGCCTCCTGAGTAGCTGGGATTACAGGCACGCGCCACCATGCCCAGCTAATTTTTTGTATTTTTAGTAGAGACGGGGTTTCACCGTGTTGACCAGGATGGTCTTGATCTCTTGACCTCATGATCTACCCGCCTCGGCCTCCCAAAGTGCTGGGATTACAAGCGTGAGCCACCGCGCCCGGCCTATTTTATTTTTTGAGACAGCATTTTCTCTTGTTGCCCGCCCTAAAGTGCAGTGGTGCGATCTTGGCTCATTGCAACCTCTGCCTTCCAGGTTCAAGTTATTCTTCTGCCTCAGTCTCCTGAGGAGCTGGAAATATAGGCGCCTGCCACCACGCCCAGCTAATTTTTTTTTTTTTTTTTT